TGTTGTGAGTGTGATGTGTTGTAAGTGTGGTTTGTTTTAAGTGTGATATGTTGTGAGTGTGATGTGTTGTAAGTGTGGTTTGTTTTAAGTGTGATATGTTGTAACTGTGGTTTGTTTTAAGTGTGATATGTTGTGAGTGTGATATGTTGTAAGTGTGATGTGTTGTGTGATATGTTGTGAGTGTAAAGTGTTGTATGTGTGATGGATTGTAACTGTGGTTTGTTTTAAGTGTGATATGTTGTGAGTGTGATATGTTGTGAGTGTGATGTGTTGTAAGTGTGGTTTGTTTTAAGTGTGATATGTTGTAACTGTGGTTTGTTTTAAGTGTGATATGTTGTGAGTGTGATATGTTGTAAGTGTGATGTGTTGTGAGTGTGATGTGTTGTAACTGTGGTTTGTTTTAAGTGTGATATGTTGTGAGTGTGATGTGTTGTAAGTGTGGTTTGTTGTAAGTGTGATGTGTTGTGAAGTCGGTTGTTTTGTAACATGATGGTAACATACCATCAGCAATTAGTCTATTCTCATCTAGTTCATCATTCTTATCATCACACCATTATCCACATCCTTCAATCAACATGTCTTCCTTGAGATATTTACCAGGTTTACTTCCACATTACCACATATACCTCCATCACATACAGAAACATATTCTTGTATTTTTTGTTTTGTATTTTGTTTGTTCTTGCCAAAGGGGTTCTTTGCCAAGAAAGTGTTGAATTAAACTGCCATTTCAGAAAACGCTATCGCGTTATAGTTACTAAGCCTGTCTAGACTTCAGATAAAAAATTAGAGGAGAACTCCAGACAAGATTAAGACAATAAAAACAAGGGGCAGTAAATTTAAATACAACTGTCGTTCAGTAAGCTTCATGTCACATGATCATTTGAAAATGTGAAAGGAGACTCCCGGCAAATAGAACTTGATGGATGGACGAACAAAGCCATTCCACAATATATCCTATCAAAAATTTATAGCAACGTATGAAAAAACAGAACAAAAAATTCCAAGATATAAAATCAGAAATGTTATTTCCAATTTATTACCGATTTTCAGCACCTTTTCAAATGGACATCAATATGTATGGAATAATGACTGAATAAACAGTGTGTAATCTAATTCTGGTACACTATATACTGAAAAAGTATCAAAAACAATTTAAATCCTTTCCCTTCAACAATATTGTAAATGTAGTCATCACCTCTTGATTAACAAATACGTGAACTTATGTTATGAAATAATTGTTTAAACAAGCACTTCAAGTTTATGTTACTAATTAATTGACCCATTCATCTACATGTTCTTGGGAAAATAAGTTGTAGTGTTTAATTATTTTTAAATGAAGACACTTGTGGAAAAATTTATTGAGGTCTAGTATCTATATTGTAGTAAAGTACTAGGTAGTCATAATGATTTAAAGTACACGTGTACTGGTAAAAAAAAACCAGTGAAATAAGGTTTTTGAAGCACGGTGTGATATTTAGCTCCCATTATGTGAACATGAGGGCATTATCATTTCTGTTATTAAAAAGAAAAGATTTTCATAAATTGACTTCATCCATAACAGTTTACATTGGTAATTCAATGTTTCAATGTCTAAAAATATCAAAACTATTGGTATATTATGTACAGTTAAAACCCCAAACAAAATAATCATGAAAATAGGGCCTTTAACACAATTATTTTTTCTTCTCTTGTAAACCTACATATTCTGACAATCTCTAGAATTACTTTTACATTACTGTAAACCTACATATTCTGACAATCTCTCGAATTACTTTTACATTACTGTAAACCTACATATTCTGACAATCTCTAGAATTACTTTTACATTACTGTAAACCTACATATTCTGACAATCTCTAGAATTACTTTTACATTACTGTAAACCTACATATTCTGACACAATTAAATTGTAGTGCTTATCAATTTTGAATAAATTTGTGCAATGATGTACAGTAACTTCTACAGAGTTAATACATTCAAAACCCTTGTGATTATTTTAACAAAAACAACAACTTTGAATGTCATTTGAATTATTACTTGGTCATAATAATCACAAACAATCATAACAATCCTCTATCACTTTGAAATTCTTACATGTTTAGATCTCTGTGATTCTAAAAGACTTCCCTGTATTATTGTCTGTAGCACTTTACAAGACTGCATTCATCAGATATACAGCTACAGGTCAGAGGTCAAGCACATGTGCCACAATAAATACAGTTGTCAATAAGATGCTACAACAACAGAGCTAATAACCTACAAAGTTTCAATCTTACTGAATTACAAAACAAACAGTAGAAATATCGTAAAAGATGTTACCACTGGGACGACTACTGTATAATTAGCATATAGTACAAAGTGTTACGTTTAACACTACATAAACATGTCTGACCTGCTGAAGTTTCCCCATCTGGCCTTGAAGGCAACTCATCCCACTCTAATCTGTACCCAGGTAAATGAAATTTAGTATGGACACAACATGTATCACATGACTGAATCACATGACTTTTCAGGTATAGTCACATGACTTTTTTATAAGCAAAATTGTGGTCATTATGAAGCTACCAGTTACCGATATAGAAGTCTTCCAGAGTCCAGGTCTAAAACAGTGCATGATTCGAGAATACAAAGTCATTTCTAAATTGGTGCTCATGAAATCATGTACATGTATTCATGAATATGTCTGAAGAGGTGAATTCACACAAAAAATTGACTCAAGGTATATACTGAAGACATGGAAAAAACTGCATTCAGCACAATATCTTGAGTGTGACAGTACTGAAATAAGATTACTACTGAAATATATACATTTACAATAGCATGTTAAATTAAAAGGTACATAAACAAATACACATTGTTTACGGGTTTGATTCCAGTATCACACTAAGCTGCTGTCTGTGGGGTTGTTTACAGAAGTTAACTGATATTGACTGTAATGACGAAAACAAAAATCGGCTACAAGGACAAACTATAGGTAAACAGTAAACAAAACTCCAACCAATAATATAGTGACAGATTTCACAAAGATGGATCAGTTTATGTTAAAAGGACACAAATGGAAGTAAAAAGTGACAGAGAAGAAAGAAACAGAAGTAAACAGATGTATGTATTCAAAAGGAAACAAATGGAATTTAATAGAATTTGATTGAATTGGCGAGTTAAAAAAATCTATTCTACAAATGCTTACAGATATAGTTCAAAGAAGTCTTGTGACTTATGGAGACACCGCCTTGACTGGTTTTATTTTCAGTTAATTTTTTTTACATGATGTTATCAAATTTTTCTAAACAGCACTTGTAGTGTCTGTTACAGACTCGATCATCAAGTGCATGTCACTCTTTACGAATATGATGTTCATTTCATGTGAAACAAACAATTGTTGTTAGAAGACATAAACAATTTTCTACGATTGCTTTTAAAACCTTAGGTTCTTAACAAAAGCTACAAAATGGCACTGAATGCAAAGTTTTATTAGTGATCTTGTCACTAGAAAAGTCCTTAAGACAGCACAAAAATCACAAAGGATGGTACAAATAGACCACTTCCGCATTACCTGGACAAAACCTACAACAGAAAAAGATGGGAAGCAAAAACATCTCCCTGGGCAAGGCACATTGCAAAAAGTGAATTCAAAAGTCATGCGAGTTTCCTGTGTACCTGCCAGTAGAGATATTGTCTAAAGCAATATTTTATTTATGAAATAGATTACAACTAATTCAAGCTAGTTTTCCTCAGCGCCATCTTATTGCTATATAATGATAGTTCAAATGATTTAACCCTTACTAGAATATGCACAAGGTACTACAATACTGCTCTTACCCACTGCTCCAGCTATATACAAGCACAATGAATTTACAACAAATGAAATCATTTTTTGTTTGCCGTTCAAAATCTGTTATTTTCGGATAATTTTTATGTTGACATATTTGCTCCTAAAATCTGAAAATACAACAAAAATTGTACCAAAAAGCATGTGAATGAGCCTAGATAATGCGCGTGTCATTATGATATAAATACTGTAGATAAGACAGTATTACCATATAATATATGCTAAACACGTATCCTTACAAAATCTAATGCAACAAGATGGGCTATAAAAATTCATGTCTGTCCATTGTTCTGAAGCTGCTTTCCGTTTTTCATCATTTTTATCATTAATTTCCATTCAGAATGACCGACATTCCTGAACCAAGTGAAATGATTCTAGGTAAAATGAATACCTACCTACTGTCCCTTCTTTTTCTATACAATAAATCACACAACCTTATTTTAATCCTAAGCTATATATTTGTTATTCCAAACAACTCTCATTAACAGTATATCTCATACATACGAAGGCACTACCAAGAGAAATCCTTTTTACATCAATGATACCTGGGGTAAAGGTCTGGCTACACGGGCTATGGGACCATTTTGTTAATGCATCTGATTTATGCCTGAATTATTATATTTCAATAAAAGAACAGGCTCCTGGTCTTTTACACCTGCTACTGGCCAGATTTAAATCTTACTTAGGAAAGAACATAATGGGTTCTCATATCACTTTGGGGCTGAATATCAAACACTCGCATGTAACATTTTATTATTGCTTGATTTCTTGGTCACATGACCCGAATTTGTACACCATCCCATCACTAGTCACATGACCTAAACATGTCCACAGCTCCATCACAGGTCACATGACTGAAACATATACACTGCTCCATTACAGGTCACATGACTGAAACATATATACTGCTCCATCACATGCACAGGAGAGTCATCATTCTAAAGGTCATCTGCCCAAGGTGACATGGCTATGTTGGCAGTCTCAATTTGAAGCTTCCAGAAAATACATCCTAATCTATCAACAGCAGGATTTCAAAAGGCTTATTTCCAAAATTAAATACTGGTACATGTTTTTCCACCTATTTGCCTACAGGAATAGACAAGTAAACTTTTGCAGGTTTGAAATGTAACATCTGGACACACAGTAAAGACGACAATATAGTAAGACTTCACACCAAGGGTTTGAAAAAACTGTTATCTGAACTGAGAAGCTTTCGTTTTTTCTGCTTGACTCCTTTTGACAAAGTGTTATTTTCACTAGTGTCCTCATGCAGTGATTTTTGTGGTAAAGATTCAAACTCGTCTGAGCTTCTCACACTCTGATTGGTTGGGATAGCATCCAGGATGCGCTTTTTTGGTCGTCCTTTCTTGGATTTAGTGGCTGCTGGAGGATTCATGGCCTCGGCATTCTCTTCCAGGTTATATGTGCTGTTTAGCGAGGATGATGTTGTGTCATTAGAAACTTCCTGTAGAAAAATGAAAGCAATTTTCCATCAAATTATTTAGAAAATAAATATCCAATGCTTTGATGCTTGTAAGTATAGCTTTTGGTTCTGTTATTGTTTACTGAGTTCTCATTTGGAAATCTAACATCACTTGCTTGGATTGACCAATCTTTATATGGTGGGTGATAAAACAGGAGATGCTAAATATTTCTTTTGTTCATATTTTGCTCTAATTTTATTAAATATGAATTTGAATCCTGATTCTGTTGACATGTTGGTATATTTGCTTCTACAACACCTATCAAATATTCCAAAGCTCAGCGGCAGTAGCCATTGCAAAATAATTAATCACTGAAATGCCAAAAAAGGATTGGTGTGGTTTGACTCAAAATTCTTATAACACAATTAGTAGAAGATTAGAGTGTGATGTTTCTATAACTACACGGTCCCCTTCATCTTATAACACAACCAGTAGAAGGTTAGAGTGTGATGTTTCGATGACTACACGGTAACCTTCATCTTATAACACAACCAGTAGAAGATTAGAGTGTGATGTTTCGATAACTATACGGTTACCTTCACCGTATAACACAGACAGTAGAAGATTAGAGTGTGATGTTTCGATGACTACATGGTCACCTTCATCTTATAACACAGACAGTAGAAGATTAGAGTGTGACGTTTCGATAACTATACGGTTACCTTCACCTTATAACACAACCAGTAGAAGATTGGAGAGTGACGTTTTGATGACTACAAGGTCACCTTCACCTTATAACACAGACAGTAGAAGATTAGAGTGTGATGATGACTACACGGTCACCTTCATCTTATAACACAACCAGTAGAAGATTACAGTGTGATGTTTTGATGACTACAAGGTCACCTTCACCTTATAACACAACCAGTAGAAGGTTAGAGTGTGACGTTTCCATGACTACACGGTCACCTTCATCCTATAACACAACCAGTAGAAGGTTAGAGTGTGATGTTTCGATAACTATACGGTTACCTTCATCTTATAACACAGCCAGTAGAAGGTTAGAGTGTGACGTTTCGATAACTATACGGTTACCTTCATCTTATAACACAGCCAGTAGAAGGTTAGAGTGTGACGTTTCGATAACTATACGGTTACCTTCATCTTATAACACAACCAGTAGAAGGTTAGAGTGTGACGTTTCCATGACTACACGGTCACCTTCATCTTAAAACACAACCAGTAGAAGGTTAGAGTGTGACGTTTCCATGACTACACGGTCACCTTCATCTTATAACACAACGAGTAGAAGATTAGACTGTGACGTTTCGATAACTATACGGTTACCTTCATCTTATAACACAGCCAGTAGAAGGTTAGAGTGTGATGTTTCGATAACTACACAGTCATCTTTATCAGACAATGGCCTGTGAGAAGCATACTAGCTTTAACTTAACAACTTTTTAAGGTGACTTATTAAGGAAAACATCTGGATATGCTGCAGAGAACCAGAGTACTAACCAGAGATGAGGGGGGGCCACATACTCTCACACATCAATGACAAAGTGTTAACTAAAGCATAGTTGAATTGACACCAATTAATTGTTACCATCTTGTGTACTTTTCTATAATCTGTTTACCATCTTGTCAGACTAGTTTTGGCCTTAGTATACGTAGGAATATAACACAGCCAAAAGTAATGGATGATTCCTTACCATCACATAAACTACGTACATCAGTGCTAGTGTGTTTCACACTGGTCATTTGTTCCCAACACAAGTTAGAAAAACAGTTGACATGCAGTGCAGGAAACATTTTTGAGTCAATGTATATCTGTTATCAATTGTGAAAGACTTTGAAAGATCATTAAGAGTTTCCATGGCAGAATAACTTTCAGTTCACAGTATCTAAACTGTATATACAAAGGGAGTTATGAAACCAAAAATATATCAGTTCATTACATGTACCAAAACAGTCAACTCTCAAGTCTTTAGTATAATTATGTTTTGTTTACAAGATAATAGTCCACAAAACTCTGTAGCCTTACTGAGGCTGCTCAGAACATATCACCTACTTACATTCTGTAACTCCTCCATTGAATGTTTTCTTTGATCTGGTATCATTGTCTTGCGTGATGCTTTCTTCTTTTTAAATAATGGGGTCTTGACCCAGTCTGGGTCATTTTCGTTATCCTGTGACTCTTCTTCCTCTTCCTCCCAGTCCAGAGCATGTTCCTCGTAAGTCACTAATCGACTGCTAGACTTCTTTTTGGGTTGTTGGGCCACAGATCTTTTTTTCCTTCTCTGAAACATTGAAACAAACATTGAAATCACTTTGAAATATCAACATCAGATTAATCAAGTCATGGTAAAAGTAAATTTCCATAGAAGATGCTGTTACTGAGTGATAAATTCTCAACACAAAGACAAGGGAGAGATATTTTATTTACTTCAACATATTAATAGTTGATCAATTCACTGCTGGAGATATAATATCTTCATTATGACTGATCAATCTCCATTTAGTGACAATGAAAATGAAAACAACAAGCAACGTTAGACATCTATCTGCAAGCATTTGCTGTAATCTAACTTCAAATTAATTGTCGATTCTCAACATATTACAGGATACTAAACTATGGAAAAGTTCTAAAAAAACAACCAATCTGGAATTGTTTTTTTCAGTCTAGTAAGCATACAAGTCAATAATAATAATATTAACTAGAAATTGTTGTAGACAATTCTGACTGGCTTTCCACCTATTTTGGTCTGTAATTAAAGGAAATGCCTGCAATGCATTGGCACTCTGTATGAAATCAAAGTACAAAAGGAATCATCAATAGTAACAGATCAAAGCACTAAGCATACTGTTTTCCATAATAATGCTGTATAACGTTAATTTTGAACTGTACCGGAAAAAATCAGAAGTTGAATTTGTGGAAAACAACTTCATGTTACCAATATGAAGCAACACTGGACCACAGAAGTTTTTAAGGAAATTTCACAATTGTTTACCTCTAAACATATTAAATTGAATTCTTTGGAATTTTTCACATGATTGACGCCTGCGACCTTGAAAGTAGGTCAAGGTCATCCATATTAACAACATTTATGGACAATTACATGAACTCAATATGTATTAAATATCAAATCTCTATGCCCTTTCAAACTTGAGAAGAAGTTTCTTATATGTTGGTACCCTACAGTAAAGTTTTGAACTTTGACTCCTATGGAAAACCAGAAGTTTGTTTCTTGTGGATTTTTTGCTTAAACCAACCAAAAGCAAGTCTCTACGGGAGGTTGTTGACCAAATCATGTTTCTGTTTTACTCTTAAAACGTAAGGAAACATCATTTAATGATATTCATATAATTGACCCCTGAGACTTTGAAAGTAGGTCAAGGTCATTCATATTAGCAAACCTAATAGGCAATTACGTTTGCGTTAAAGATCGAATGTCTAGACTTTACAAACTTCAGGACTTTTGAACTTTGACCCCTACCGAACCAGCAGTTCACATTTTACACGAAAATATTGTATGAGAAAAGCCATTTATTTTCAATTCTACATAACATATCCAAAGATGATTTCAAAATGTCATGTCATTATTGAAATATTGACGTTAGAGCAAAAATCAAATATGGCGTCATGGCAGCCATTTTGATTTTTTGACAAAGTTGAAAATCCCATGAGAATTTAGAGGGCACATTACCAAATCTATTCCATAACAATTAAACAAAATTTCATAGTAGGATCTTGGAGAAATTTTAGTTCAAACTTTTTGTTTGCAATTTCCATTGAACTATGGGAATTTTAAAAAATGACATAAAACGTCAAAGAAAGACGTCACAGAAGAAAGGTGGACAATTAAAAGATCAGATTGACATTCTGCATTGACCGCTTGGTGAGCATTTTTATTTGAAAGAATTTCTATTCACATGTAGATAAAAAAGTTAGATATGACTCTCCTCTATATAAGATATAATGTAGCATATTTATGTATATATGTCGCAAATTTGTAGGAAAATAATTTTTGATTTATTGCTGTTTTTAGAATTTCTTGTAATTGGGTCATGGTGGCCATATTGGGTTTTTGACCTACTTAAAAATACGTCATTAACAAGGTCAGATGTACTTCCATAACATACTATTTAGGTTGCGTGCCTATCCCTTACTGTTTGAAAGATTACAAACCCACAAATTCAGAAGAAGAATAATAATAAGAATTAACGACAACAATAGGTCTATTCGTCTTTTGATGAAAAACCCTAATAATATCACAAAATGTTCTGATTATCTAAAGTTTTGTGATCAACAACAAAATTAAAGATTTTTCTGATTTTCTATCGTGTCAGGTTTTGAAACAAGTCTGAAATTGGCCATTGCTAATTACTACACCAATTACCTAGCAATAAGACTATTAATTTCTGTTAAAAAGCCTCGTCACACAGTGGATTGTCCAGTAATAAGCCAATAACTTTACTTTGATTCACAGGTTATGTTTAGTCCCCATGGGCTTATTGATGGAAACATACGGTATGTCTGAGTGATAGACAGCCCAGATCCATAGCAAAACTTGAATGTGGTTCTACTGATAAAAAAAGACAACATGTACTTACTTTCATTTCAGGAGAAAAGAATGGAGAGGATTCTGGGTTTTCAATGTCTGGCATCAAAGCAAGAGCTTTATTCTGGTATGTAGCTTTGGTCAGTTGCTACAAATAATGATATAATTTGTGATCATTTTGACATAAAGACTGCAACACATATAAAAGATTAAATTTCAAAACAACTCATAGTTATCTAGGATCCATCGGTAGATATTACCCCCAGTGGAATCACTTATGTACAGTACGGAACATTAGAGCTGTCACGATACATCAATACTATCGATACCATCAATATTTTGCATGACTATACAGGTATCATATCGTCACTTGTGTATTGCGATACCATAAAATTGGTGGTATGCAACCTAAAATCTTTTATTTAGAAGAATTACTTCCCTTCCAAAGTCTCTCTAACATTACAACATGGCGACGTCTAGTCCTATCAATGAATTGAAAAAACGGATACGATTGAAATAGAAAATTCAGGAAATACCACAAACATGTCTGTACACCTTTGTTATTGGTATTTTTGTTATTTGCCTTCAATAGCCATTGGACTTTAATTTTACAGCGTTACAAATGTTGTGTTTTATTATTGTTATGTGAAATAATCAAATAAAGCACATTGTCCATCAGCTGTTCCGAGTTTTATTTATTCTAATACAACTCTGCGATACGTATCGTGATATCAATGTATCGTGGCTTTGTATCGCGATATGTATCGTGAGATTACTGACAATACACAGCACTACTGAAACTCATTTTTCTACTCCTATCAAAATGATGACAAAATGATTTAGGGAGAGTTTACAGCATAAATCTTTTGAATTTAAATGTAATAGGAGTATCAGGGAAAGTGATTAATGCTCCATGCAAGCAACTTCATTGGATGAAATCTATAACAAAGGGCAATAATTCTGTAATTCATGGGTTTGTGGATCCTATAAACTGTAAACTGACTTCAATCTTCTTAAACAGCTTCCTATTGCATATTATAAACACATGTATTAAGATGGAAAAGGACAAGCACACAACACAAACCTTTTTCAGTTTGTTACATTCTTCCGTCTTCTTTGTCAGCTCCTCATGCAGGGCACTTAATTTTTCAATTTCTTGTTGCTTAATGAAATTAAGGAGAGAGAGAAAAAAAAGAACAATTATTTTTAAAAACAAAAGATTATCTCAACTACCAAATATCGGTAGTTTTAACACATTTCACAATATGATTACTTATGATTCAATTTATTGAGGTGTCACTGCAGTTTCCTGTGACTTCTACATAATACAAGTCCTCCTAGTTCCATGGTTAAAGTCAAATTTTCTAATTTGATAGTGTACAGAGATCCTAGTATAAAAAATATTTACAATATTATCCTTACCTGGATCTGTAACGTTTGTTGTGAATCACCATCAGCAGGGATGTTCTTCACTCGCTGGAGGAGGTAAAGAACCTGAAGAGAAGAGAAACATAACATTCACACAAATGATACCATACAATTAAAAGGAGGTCAAATGTACAGGTATATACATTTATTATGGTGGTAGTCCTCAATGGATGGAATCCTTAGGAATACACAATCCATTTCAAAATGTAATCTAAAGTTAAAGGCAGAGAAGACAGGACAATATCTTTCAGAAGACATCTACAAAATATATAGGTTGACATGCATCAGCATAGTTCAGAACAGTTTAACAATTCAAAACATAGGACTTACACATACTTCTAATTATACTGATACATTGTAACTGTTCTGAAGACTGCACACTTATCATGCAAATGCCTAAATATTGCTGACATCTCCTGACAAATGTTGTCGACCATCTCTAATTTAAGTTGGAAAAATTAAGAAAAGATTTCAAAATTCAACAGATATCTTTTCAGAAAACAATGAAATATTAATCCTTCTATTGCCATCATGATAATTGATAATAACAAGAGACCAATAGGGCCTGTATCACGTAGAGGTTTTTGTTTGTTTTCATTGATTAATTTAAACTGAAGGAAAAGAATTTAACATGCTTGTATCCATTTACCCTATACTATCAGGTGCCCTCCTTCTACCCAGAGAGGGTGAGATGCAATGTTTATGCATAACTAAGTTTCTTTAACCCAGGGATGCTTCAGATCAAATCTTGACAAAACTGAACAAACAGAAGGATTTTAAAGAACTTAAAGAACTATTGAAAACCACTCCTCCTCCCCCAGGGGGCCACAACCTACTCATTACACAAAACTTATTCCAATCATTCCTCCTGAAGTAGGATTTCCAAAATTTGCTCTATTTGCCTACTTGGGTCATACCCCTCCAACCCCATGAAGCCAACACCAGCTGCCCTGTCCAAGGCCCTGTCCCTCCTGACCCAGGGGGCCAAAATCTATGGTTTATAATTGATTTCCCTTCTTCCAAGAGCCTGACAACCACCATTATACAGAACTGATTTTCCTTCACCCTAGGATGTTTCAGACCAAACAATAAAATTCCAAACATTCCTACAGGAGGAGTAGGATTTCAAAGAATTTGCTCTATTTCCCCAACTGGGCCCCATTATTCTCACCACAGGGGATCCAAACCCATTGTTTACAGTAAATTCAGTACCTTTCACTCGAGGATGCCTTAGACCATATTCAGACAAAATCTAATCAGGTTTTTTCAACCTAAGCATGCCTTATCATTCTTTAATAAGTAATAGTGTTCTTGGGATTCCACGATACAAATCTATTCAAAGTCTGAAATGGGCAACTGATGCTGGAGTGAAACTGAATTTATTTTGACATTCTCATGATGTAAAGGAGCCATGCTTGACAATTTAGAACCAATACAAAGAGTTAATGCTCAAATCCAGAATATATCAAACCTGATATTTCTCATACATATCTATTGTTTTGCATACCAAAACTTATCAGCAAAGACCCTTTTGATGAAGACAAGTTATCTGCCCTTGGTGGACATTAAAGGCTTCAAGGTAGCCAACTTTTCTCACCTTTTCCTCATGTTTTTTCTGTAGCTGTGTCATGTCAGCATCATGTTTTTTCTTCAGGGCTGTCACTTCCTCCTCAAGAGTAGTTATTTCTTCCTTCTTGTCCACATGGTTCATTTGCGAGTCACGCAGTTCACTCTGTGCACGGTTCACTTCCACTCGAGATGTTACAGCCTGAAACAATAGCCTTATCTTAGTTATGGGAATAAGTCTCTTGTAGAATTGGTCTAATTCTATTACTGTGCTTTTCTATTACTAAGTCCATCACTAGTAATAAGCCCACCTAACTCTCTTGCATTTACAGCAAAAAAATGCTACTACTTCCTCAATCTTTGTCTTGTGAAAAGCCCAACCCGACATTGAGTAAGAAGTTATGTGTTAGCTCCTGCACTTATTCTAGGATAAATACCATAAATCATCAGAATTTCTGTATATTCTGTCAAACTTTCTGATCATCAAAATCATTTATGCATGAAAACAACATCCCCTCCAATCCTTTCTTTATATTCAACGTTTCACTATACTAAATTAGTTTTGAATTCAGTTGTCAAGATTTTAAAAAATAAATTGACTAAATTGAAGTTATGATTAGTAAATAAAATTTCACAATAATTGTTTATCAATAACTTTTCATTTTGTAAAGTGTATCAGACTTCAACTTGTGAATTTAAATCTGACAAACAATACTGATCACAGCAAAATTTCATATCTACAGAACTTTATATTGTATTTCATATCTACAGAACTTTATATTGTATTTCATATCTACAGAACTTTATATTGTATTTCATATCTACAGAACTTTATATTGTATTTCATATCTACAGAACTTTATATTGTATTTCATATCTACAGAACTTTATATTGTATTTCACATCTACAGAACTTTATATTGTATTTCATACTTTATCTATCTACAGAACTTTATATTGTATTTCACTTTATATTGTATTTCACATCTACAGAACTTTATATTGTATTTCCTCAAGAGAATTTTTGTATGGCAATACAGAACTTTATATTGTAAAACCTTTATATTGTATTTCTTTATATTGTATTTCATATCTACAGAACTTTATATTGTATTTCATATAATTGTATTTCATATACAGAACTTTATATTGTATTTCATATCTACAGAACTTTATATTGTATTTCATATCTACAGAACTTTATATTGTATTTCATATCTACACAACTTTATATTGTTCAACAAAAATTTACTGAACTTTATATTGATCTCAGAACTTTATATTGTATTTCATATCTACAGAACTTTATATTGTATTTCATATCACCTGTTCTAGCAACCATTTCATTCCAGAACTTTATAGCCTCGAACTTTATATTGTCTTTATATTGTGTACAGAACTTTATATTGTATTTCATATCTACAGAACTTTATATTTATTTATATTGTATTTCATATCTACAGAACTTTATATTGTATTTCATATCTACAGAACTTTATATTGTTGCTTTCCCTTTATATTTACAATCTGAAAAACAGTAACTCATGGAGATTAGAAACACCTTTATATTGTATTTCATATCTACAAAACTTTATATTGTATTTCCTCAAGAAAATTTTTTCATAGGAACATGTTAATGTTACACCATAGATATTACATCACATCCTAACACTAGAATATCTCTCTCTATATAGTGTGAAGTCACTGCTTGTTTGCTGGGTTTATGCCCCAAGAACAACTAGGATCATTTTAAGAAGCAGACACCTTGTTGAAGCTGATGGCTACCTTACTGAGCAACATATAGAGGTTGTCACATGTCATCTTAAACAACTGGGGTAAAGTGACTGCCCAATTATACAACTAAGACAGTAACCACGGGTCTGTTTCTCAGCTTCCTGTGTAACACAAACCGCCATAGATAGGGAGTGTCAAACCACACACAACTCATATCATCACCTGAGGTTATGTAGCGCAATATTCTATAACTACATACTAAGCTAAAAATCAGAGCTATTATAATATTGAACCCAGATGTTTTATGTATTTACACAGTTACTTGTTATCACAGACTTACTTTGATCAGCGTCTACAATTTTCTGCTGTAGGTCCGAGATCTGGGCATTCCTGTTATTGAACAGAATATTTCAATGTAAACACATCACACATAATCATCAAAGACTTTTTTGTTCATTATTTGATATATATTTCTCTTTCTAATCTGTGATATCTTTTTTAAGAGGTGATATTTGATATAGTGTCATTCTTTTTTGTGTGTTATCAACAAAACTAACATTTCAGTTTTAGTTTTTCAATTTTGCATGCATATCCAATATTTACTATGGAATAAACGGTGAGATAAAAAGATTATGTAACTTAATCTGTAGATCAAATAGTCCAAACAATCTTTTAAAGGAGGCTAACATTGGCATATGATGCATGAAAAGCTAGCTTACATCAGTAAAATCTTGAGACAAAATCTTACAAAGGTTTTTTTTTTCTGTTCTTCAACCAGAGAGCAAATTCATCCTAAATCATCCCTCTTTCATACAAACCTCAGACTGATTTCTTGTTCAACCACCTGGATTTGATTTTTAATTGATTCTTCTTCAAAACTTCCCTCGACTCTGTAGCAGTCAGAATTCTCCCATGCAAATTTCTAACAAAAACACATCAAGTGAAGGCGTATTACTCATTCTATATAGTAAACTTGTCAACATTTCTATCATCAAACTTCAATTTATTACTGATACAAAAACAGGGACTTGACATATAGAGGATCTTACATGGTTGTCCGTTAATATGGGATTTCTTAATTAACAAAGTTCAATTCTGTTCCATTATTCAATTGTATTTGGTGGCATAAATGTGAATGAATTCAGTAATGAATTGTTTGAAACACAAGTATACAATACGAGTGAACCCATGCAATGAGAAAGGAGTTCAGTGTCGAGTAGTGCAGGACATTAGGCCTTTTCCAGAACGTTTTCTTTGATGTAGGTTCCCCCAGTTCCCAGGGTGGGACAAACAATATAGAATTTGTCCAGAGTAAACATAGGAGGGTAAAACCTCTCTAAACTGAATCAAAATAATACAGAACCTGTCTAAACAAAGCTTAGTAAGTAAAACTTGTCTTGAATCAACGAAAAGAAAACCTAATAATAATAAAAAATAATAATGAAATGATAAAACCTAAAAATTAAACATTACAGAAAACTACAATAGATATTTGTGTGTAGAAATAAAACAGTGTAATTCTGAACACAGCATTCAGCCTGAACTTTGCCTACCTTTTTCGGTGGTTCCTCTCCTATCTTCACCTTAAGCTGGCGCAGTTGTTCTGATAGTGTCTTGCGATCATTCAGAAGACTCTCCAGGTGGTACTTGGCCTCTCGGATGCTCACACGAATCTCGAACTCATGACTCAGCCATGTCTATTGACGTAAACAAAAATAAAACAAACTAATTACCTCAAATTTTACATTTCTACAATGCCACCGACTTCAGTTTTAAATTCATTAAAAGAAACTTTTTAAAAAAAAAATTAGTCATAAGATATATTTTCTTTGTTTTAATTATAAGGAACAATTTTTTTCTTAATTTTGTTTAAAAGCAATAGGCCATCAGTCTGCTTTAGCTTGGAACTAGTCAGGTCTAGGAAACCGTTGATAACTAATCTCACACTATTACCAATGAGAAGGCCATAAGACTGTTGTAAGACTGGTAGGCCATACCAGTGGAGAAGGAATCAGACTGTTGTAACTAGGTACTGGTCATTTCTAGGACACAGTAGGTACCTACCCTCACTCTGTTACCAGTGGAGAAGGCCATCAGACTGTTGTAACTAGGTACTGGTCATTTCTAGGACACAGTAGGTACCTGCTCTAACTCTGTTTCCGATGGAGAAGGAATCAGACTGTTGTAACTAGGTACTGGTCATTTCTAGGACACAGTAGGTACCTACCCTCACTCTGTTACCAGTGGAGGAGGAATCAGACTGTTGTAACTAGGTACTGTTCATTTCTAGGACACAGTAGGTACCTGCTCTAACTCTGTTTCCGATGGAGAAGGAATCAGACTGTTGTAACTAGGTACTGTTCATTTCTAGGACACAGTAGGTACCTACCCTCACTCTGTTACCAGTGGAGGAGGAATCAGACTGTTGTAACTAGGTACTGTTCTTTTCTAGGACACAGTAGGTGCCTACCCTCACTCTGTTGTCAATGGAGAAGGCCATCAGACTGTTGTAACTAGGTACTGTTCATTTCTAGGACACAGGTACCTACCCTCACCTCACTCTGTTGTCAACTGGAGAAGGCCATCAGACTGTTGTAACTAGGTACTGTTCATTTCTAGGACACAGTAGGTTACCAGTGGAGAAGGAATCAGACTGTTGTAACTAGGTACTGTTCATTTCTAGGACACAGTAGGTACCTACCCTCACTCTGTTACCAGTGGAGGAGGAATCAGACTGTTGTAACTAGGTACTGGTCATTTCTAGGACACAGTAGGTAACTACCCTCACTCTATTACCAGTGGTGAAGGCCATAAGACTGTTGTAACTAGGTACTGTTCATTTCTAGGACACAGTAGGTAACTACCCTCACTCTGTTACAAGTGGAGAAGGAATCAGACTGTTGTAACTAGGTACTGTTCATTTCTAGGACACAGTAGGTACCTACCCTCACTCTGTTACCAGTGGAGAAGGCCATCAGACTGTTGTAACTAGGTACTGTTCATTTCTAGGACACAGTAGGTACCTACCCTCACTTTGTTACCAGTGGTGAAGGCCATCAGACTGTTGTAACTAGGTACTGTTCATTTCTAGGACACAGTAGGTACCTACCCTCACTCTGCTGTCAATGGAGAAGGCCATCAGACTGTTGTAACTAGGTACTGTTCATTTCTAGGACACAGTAGGTACCTACCCTCACTCTGCTGTCAATGGAGAAGGCCATCAGACTGTTGTAACTAGGTACTGTTCATTTCTAGGACACAGTAGGTACCTACCCTCACTCTGTTACCAGTGGAGAAGGCCATCAGACTGTTGTAACTAGGTACTGGTCATTTCTAGGACACAGTAGGTACCTACCCTCACTCTGTTACCAGTGGAGAAGGCCATCAGACTGTTGTAACTAGGTACTGGTCATTTCTAGGACACAGTAGGTACCTACCCTCACTCTGCTGTCAATGGAGAAGGCCATCAGACTGTTGTAACTAGGTACTGTTCATTTCTAGGACACAGTAGGTACCTACCCTCACTCTATTACCAGTGGAGAAGGCCATCAGACTGTTGTAACTAGGTACTGTTCATTTCTAGGACACAGTAGGTACCTACCCTCACTCTGTTACCAGTGAAGAAGGCCATCAGACTGTTGTAACTAGGTACTGTTCATTTCTAGGACACAGTAGGTACCTACCCTCACACTGTTACCAGTGGAGAAGGCCATCAGACTGTTGTAACTAGGTACTGTTCATTTCTAGGACACAGTAGGTACCTACCCTCACTCTGTTACCAGTGGAGAAGGCCATCAGACTGTTGTAACTAGGTACTGTTCATTTCTAGGACACAGTAGGTACCTACCCTCACTCTGTTACCAGTGAAGAAGGCCATCAGACTGTTGTAACTAGGTACTGTTCATTTCTAGGACACAGTAGGTAACTACCCTCACACTGTTACCAGTGGAGAAGGCCATCAGACTGTTGTAACTAGGTACTGTTCATTTCTAGGACACAGTAGGTACCTACCCTTACTCTGTTACCAGTGGAGAAGGAATCAGACTGTTGTAACTAGGTACTGTTCATTTCTAGGACACAGTAGGTACCTACCCTCACTCTGTTACCAGTGGAGAAGGCCATCAGACTGTTGTAACTAGGTACTGTTCATTTCTAGGACACAGTAGGTAACTACCCTCACTCTGTTACCAGTGGAGAAGGAATCAGACTGTTGTAACTAGGTACTGGTCATTTCTAGGACACAATAGGTACCTACCCTAACTCTGTTGTCAATGGAGAAGGCCATAAGACTGTTGTAACTAGGTACTGGTCATTTCTAGGACACAGTAGGTACCTATCCTCACTCTGTTACCAGTGGAGGAGGAATCAGACTGTTGTAACTAGGTACTGTTCTTTTCTAGGACACAGTAGGTGCCTACCCTCACTCTGTTGTCAATGGAGAAGGCCATCAGACTGTTGTAACTAGGTACTGTTCATTTCTAGGACACAGTAGGTACCTACCCTCACTCTGTTACCAGTGGAGAAGGCCATCAGACTGTTGTAACTAGGTACTGTTCATTTCTAGGACACAGTAGGTACCTACCCTCACTCTGCTGTACCAGTGGAGAAGGCCATCAGACTGTTGTAACTAGGTACTGTTCATTTCTAGGACACAGTAGGTACCTACCCTCACTCTATTACCAGTGGTGAAGGCCATCAGACTGTTGTAACTAGGTACTGTTCATTTCTAGGACACAGTAGGTACCTACCCTCACTCTATTACCAGTGGAGGTACTGTTCATTTCTAGGACACTGTTGTAACTAGGTACTGTTCATTTCTAGGACACAGTAGGTACCTACCCTCACTCTGTTACCAGTGGAGGAGGAATCAGACTGTTGTAACTAGGTACTGGTCATTTCTAGGACACAGTAGGTACCTATCCTCACTCTGTTACCAGTGGAGGAGGAATCAGACTGTTGTAACTAGGTACTGTTCATTTCTAGGACACAGTAGGTACCTACCCTCACTCTGTTACCAGTGGAGGAGGAATCAGACTGTTGTAACTAGGTACTGTTCATTTCTAGGACACAGTAGGTAACTACCCTCACTCTGTTACAAGTGGAGAAGGAATCAGACTGTTGTAACTAGGTACTGTTCATTTCTAGGACACAGTAGGTACCTACCCTCACTCTGTTACCAGTGGAGGAGGAATCAGACTGTTGTAACTAGGTACTGTTCATTTCTAGGACACAGTAGGTACCTACCCTCACTCTGTTACCAGTGGAGGAGGAATCAGACTGTTGTAACTAGGTACTGGTCATTTCTAGGACACAGTAGGTACCTACCCTCACTCTGTTACCAGTGGAGAAGGCCATCAGACTGTTGTAACTAGGTACTGTTCATTTCTAGGACACAGTAGGTACCTACCCTCACTCTGTTACCAGTGGAGGAGGAATCAGACTGTTGTAACTAGGTACTGTTCATTTCTAGGACACAGTAGGTACCTACCCTCACTCTGTTACCAGTGGAGGAGGAATCAGACTGTTGTAACTAGGTACTGTTCATTTCTAGGACACAGTAGGTACCTACCCTCACTCTGTTACCAGTGGAGGAGGAATCAGACTGTTGTAACTAGGTACTGTTCATTTCTAGGACACAGTAGGTACACACCCTCACTCTGTTACCAGTGGAGGAGGAATCAGACTGTTGTAACTAGGTACTGTTCATTTCTAGGACACAGTAGGTACCTACCCTCACTCTGTTACCAGTGGAGGAGGAATCAGACTGTTGTAACTAGGTACTGTTCATTTCTAGGACACAGTAGGTACACACCCTCACTCTGTTACCAGTGGAGGAGGAATCAGACTGTTGTAACTAGGTACTGGTCATTTCTAGGACACAGTAGGTACCTACCCTCACTCTGTTTCCGATGGAGGAGGAATCAGACTGTTGTAACTTGGAACTGCGTTCAGCTAGGACCTGTTTCTGTTTAGCTAAGGCCTCCTTCAGCCTTTTGTTGGCCGCTGCTGCCTATAAATATTATAACAAGAGGTGCATAAGTCTTTACAATCATTTCATAAATTACTGCCATGTCAAATAAAATTTGGTTGCAATCTACTTGGGCATGTAGGAATACTTGAATTGGAAAGCAAAATGTTTGCTAAATGCCCCATTCAGGGCCCAAAATGAAATGATTATCACCCAAATGATGTTTCAGACAAAGTTTGGCTAAATTCTACTCAGGTGTTAAGGAAGAGTAGCATCATAAAGGAAGTTTGTGGATGGCACACAGCCCTGTAACAAAACTGTTATAGGTCATCTTAACCCTTCTGGTCAGATGGCCTTAATAGTTACAAACACTACAAAAATAATCATACATTGGAAATTAAACACAAGAAACCAATATTACCTCCTCTGATTTTCTCTTGAGAACACTGGACTGTTTTTGGTTTTCTCTTTGCAGTTTTGCAATCTCGCATTGCCTTTTTCTGTCCTGTAATATCAAAAAATCAAATCTTCAACAAAAATTCTTTATCTTTAAAATCTTTTCATTTTAACACATTTATTGTACTACTGAAGCAAAGACTTTTCACAATAAACTACATTCATTATATAGCCAAGCTTAGACACTACATCCATTTTTTACTTAACCTCTCTACAACAAGTTGTAATTACTGAAAATTTTTGTGCTCATTACAGATGAAAGTTCACTGAATCATTCTCTGGGATAAATTTTGATTCCAGACAGTAGCAATTTCAGTACTGATATTGGAAGTCATCTGCAAAATATTCAAAATTTACACCTACCATTTAATCCCTACAAAGATACATGATTGTAGTTATTACATATCATCAGATGTTGTTTACAGCAATTTAAAGTCTGTTGTGACAAAAATACTGATGTTAAAGTCTGTTTCACTATTGCGTGTCATCTCAGATAAATGATTATTCTAAGACTATAGTCTGCTACAGATAAGTGAATACACTATAGCATTTCTCAGATAAATACACACTCACACTACAGCCTGTTTCATATAAATGAACACACTATTGTGTGTTTCAGGTAAATGAATACTCGGACTATGGTCCATTTCAGTAAATGTACTACCTTTTGCATGAGTTGTAAGACCTCCTTGTCTTTCTTCTGTTTCCATTTACGAAACGTGTCTGATTCCTCCTTCATTTGCTTCATCAGTTTTACACGATGGTGCTTCAAGTCCTGCAAATACAACAGTTGCCGTTTATAACTGCCAGTCCTTATCCATGCAATAATTGCTGGTTGTGTTATGCTCTTTTTTGATCTGTGTCATTTATAACTGTTGCCCAGATATAATGCTCTCCAACCTCTCACAAAAGATAATGACAGTAAAAACTTAAAAATTTGCCAAAATGTCAAATCCTCTCTTTCTCCTGTCAAATGGTCACCTGTGTTGAGCATTTTACCATAGGATATGGATACAAGCTGGTTTATCAAGAGATTTGAATAAGTTTGGTGAACTATCCCTACAACCATACATGAAATGAATCCCCCAGAGTTTCAACCATTCTGGCTGATATAACTGCAGGTTAATGATTCTATACTAAGAGGAAAAAGATATGCAACTTAAAATATTGGACCATCCATCTACTGGGATTTTAAACAAATGAGAGCTTCATTAGTCCGCAATGAATGAGGGTACCCTTTTTTTTTTAGAAGAAGAATAGAAGTCAGTGATCAATAATTCTTTATGAAAAATTGTCCCTAAAAGATTAAACTTCAAACCAGAGCAATATTTTGCGACTGCCTCAGTCTGAACAGTGTCTGGAACACCTAGCCTGTCACTTTTGGTAAGATAATACTTCTTTGTCTCACAGCAACCATAAGCATGCATAACACTGTTTTGAAAGATGGCAGCATTCTTTATTGCATACAGCTTCCTCTTTGTGTTGTTGGTAACATATTACAAAATTTAACAAGAGGCCCATGGGCCTTAACGGTCATCTGACAAAAAGCAAGCCAAACTCTAACAACAGTGAGTCTGCCGTTAAAACAGTGGGCTTTATTCATTTGAATAAACTTGGTAGCCCTTCCTCCCAGCATCCTACAGGCCCAATATCAGCACTCTGAGGCTTTTGGTTACTGAAAAGTCGTTTACAGATTTTAACATATTTGAACCCTGTGATCTTGAAAGTGGGTCAAGGTCATTCACTTGAACACATTTGGTAACACTTCCTCAAAGCATCCTACAGGCCCAATATCAGCACTCTAATCATTTTGGTTATTGAGAAGTCATTTGCATATTTTAACATATTTAACCCCTGTGACCTTGAAAGTGGGTCAAGGTCATTCATTTGAACAAACTTGGTAGCCCTTCATCCCAGCATCCTACAGACCCAATATCAGCATTCTGAGCCTTTTGGTTGTTGAGAAAAAGTAGTTAAAAAATTTCAACATATTTGACCCCTGTGACCTAGAAAGTGGGTCGAGGTCACTTATTTGAACAAACTTGGTAGCCCTTCCTCCAAGTATCCTACCTGCCAAATATCAGCACTCATGGACTTTTGCTTATTGAGAAGAAGTCATTTGTATATTCAAACATATTTGACCCCTGTGACCTTGAAAATGGGTCAAGGTCATTAATTTTTTAACAAACTTTGTAGGGCTTCATGCCAGCATGCTATGGGCCAAGTATTAACCCCCTAGGCTTTCTAGTATTTGAGAAGAAGTTTTTTGAATGAAAAGTTTACGGACGGCGCACGGCGGATGACGACGGACGAAGCATGATGGCTATAGGTCACCTTCGGGTCAGATGACCTAAAAATCAGAAAACTAGGATTGATACATCTACTTCCAAAGGCTGTGATAATAGGCTGAAACCGTAATTGTGTTACATTTAACCTAAAATGGGATAAAGAAAAGAGTCTGATAACAGACCACTGTCAGAGGGCGACAGAGGGCTAATGAAATCAACACACTACTAGATTGGATTTCTATTGCAGTGAAGCTTAGACATACCTGTATTTCTGTATTTAACTTTGACACCTGCTTGTCTGAAGAATCTTTCATCTTTAATAGCCTTGTCTGCTCGTTCATTTTCTTGCGCAGGTCAGAAATTTGTTGCTCAAGTTCTTTGAGTCTTTTCCTTCTTTGTTCAGCAACTCTGAAAATTACACAACAATTTGAAATTTCTTTCTGTGGAAAAGACTACTGATCTCTACAATAGCTGACATTTCTAGATCAGTACATTGCTGCTGATTATTTAGCAAACTTGTATTTGACAACTTACATTAATGTTGACACCAGCAGTAGTAAGTAGACTTACTGACAATAAAAACAACACAAACTCTATTGTATTTGACAACTTACATTAATGTTGACACCAGCAGTAGTAAGTAGACTTACTAACAATAAAATCAACACAAACTCTATTGTATTGGACAACTTACATTAATGTTGACACCAGCAGTAGTAAGTAGACTTACTAACAATAAAATCAACACAAACTCTATTGTATTTGACAACTTACATTAATGTTGACACCAGTAGTAGTAAGTAGACTTACTAACTGACAATAAAAACACAAACTCTATTGTATTGGACAACTTACATTAATGTTGACACCAGCAGTAGTAAGTAGACTTACTGACAATAAAAACAACACAAACTCTATTGTATTTGACAACTTACATTAATGTTGACACCAGTAGTAGTAAGTAGACTTACTAACAATAAAATCAACACAAACTCTATTGTATTTGACAACTTACATTAATGTTGACACCAGCAGTAGTAAGCAGACTTACTGACAATAAAAACAACACAAACTCTATTGTATTTGACAACTTACATTAATGTTGACACCAGCAGTAATAAGTAGACTTACTGACAATAAAAACAACACAAACTCTATTGTATTTGACAACTTACATTAATGTTGACACCAGCAGTAGTAAGCAGACTTACTAACTGACAATAAAAACAACACAAACTCTATTGTATTTGACAACTTACATTAATGTTGACACCAGCAGTAGTAAGTAGACTTACTAACTGACAATAAAAACAACACAAACTCTATTGTATTTGACAACTTACATTAATGTTGACACCAGTAGTAGTAAGTAGACTTACTGACAATAAAAACAACACAAACTCTATTGTATTTGACAACTTACATTAATGTTGACACCAGCAGTAGTAAGTAGACTTACTGACAATAAAAACAACACAAACTCTATTGTATTGGACAACTTACATTAATGTTGACACCAGCAGTAGTAAGTAGACTTACTGACAATAAAAACAACACAAACTTTATCAACTTACTTATTTGCGTTAGAGTTGACCCGTGCAGAATCAAGTGCTGATTGCATCTCATCCTTTTCTTTTTGTAGAATAGTGACCTCTAATTCCAGATCTTTTAGAGCAGTCTGAAAAAGTGGAGGTAAGGTATAGTAAACAAGGTATACTAAATGTAGGCTGGACAAAATGACCACATAGTTAGCCAAGGGAGCTAACTCTGTTTTAATATGGCATGTAAAAATAGTCTGCAATAAGAGATCATAGAAGCTGAACAAAATGTTACATAGTTAGCGAAGGGAGTAAACTCTGTATTTGAAGATGGTATGTGAATTGGAGATGCAATTGTAATAGCCACTTAAATAAAAGATACTGAAAATCTGTGAGGGGAGACTAACTTGTAGTCACATCTCTACTGGCAAAGTTATAGTCGGAACATTGGTCGACACTTGTAGCCAACACTCTACTGACAGACTTGTAGCCAACACTCTACTGATAGATTTGTAGCCAACACTCTACTGATAGACTTGTAGCCAACACTCTACTGACAGACTTGTAGCCAACACTCTACTGATAGATTTGTAGCCAACACTCTACTGATAGACTTGTAGCCAACACTCTACTGACAAAGTTATAGTCAGGGCTTTGGCCTACAATTGTTTCATTCTGAAAATTTGTCCTTGTTAGGTCTTCCTTTGCAAGCTTTCAATAAAACCATGGGAAAATGAAATGTTGCAAAGGAAACAATCTTTACAGCAACATCAACGAGACACTATTAAGTCATCACACAATGAGGCAAATGTCTTGAATGACCGCCAAGGTTGTGTATTAAGTGACTGGCTTTGGTATAGCTTACAAGAAATTTTAAGGAATAACAAACTTTTTACACATCAGGAAAAGGCCTTCTTTAATATCTAAGTTCAGAGTCCAAAAGAGAAGTGTTAAGTAAAACATACTACCGAATGTAAAGTGAGGCTCTCATGTATCCAGACAATATTTGTAGCCACAAACGAGTTTGATATTTTATGCATTAATATATAAATAAACTAAAGGAATATTTGTATATAATTCATTGTTTACGGAACTGTTTCATAAACAATCTTAGAAAATAAGAAAATGTCCGTTATATAATAACCTATTAAAATGGACATAGTGGTTACCACACCATTGGAAAAGGGTGCTGCTTTTATTTTGATGTGCCTAATATGTGGAAAAATTTATAAAAAATTAGCTTTAAGGCTTATATATAGGTGCAACTTATACTCCGAAAAATATGATACAAAAACTTTCACTTCCTTTCATCTTTCTCTCTCTACAACACACAGGAGTGACGCAATGAAAAATTTTTGTACCTCATACTGTTTTTTCATGGCGTCCATATGTTCATCACTTCGGGTCATCTGTGAGGCCAAGTGCTCCTTCTTTTCAAGTAGTTTGTTGAGCTCGAGTAATTCCCGGTTCATACGCGCCTGTCGCAGTGCATACTCGTTAGATACAGCCCTGCTCTGGGGTGTCCCTGGGGCACATTCCTGTCCCTAAAACCACAGCAGATAAATGTATAAAGACTTGAGACTGACCAAACCACTACCTGACAACTGAATTAGATATCAGTGCATTTATTGCCAGATAAATACAGTAATTATTGTTGCAGTCACCTTCTTTTGTCTTGAATGCACAATTAGTGGGATTTTTCAATAACCATTTATGGTACCAACATAATCTATGATGATGTATATCTGCCTTACAATAAAGAAAGACAATATTTTAACATGTGATTACATCCAAATACATGTCAGATCCATAACCTATACCAATGTAGTACAGAAAAGTATTTTAGCCCATTGATCCCCTGGGAGTAGCCAGGATAATTCTTAGACAGTACAGCGAAGAAATCTGTCAGTTAACATGGACATTCTGTTATTACCTCTTCTTCTTCCTCCTCATCTTCCTCTGATATAACATCATGTACAAGGTCCTTATCTTCTTCTGACTGAAATATACAGATTACAGGTAAGGAACAAAGGTACTTTGAATAATGTTTCCATAAAACAACAACAGAAACAGATCAGTAAGCTCCCTACACAGTGATTTTGCCTGGTATATGTAGGTTCCATATTCTGCCTTATTCAGAAATTCCAATCAGAAATTGTCTTGTACATGATCAAATTCAACCAAATTTTCCCACCCAACTATCGGTTTGAAAAAAGATGAATGTCGTTAAAAAATTTCTTAGCACTTGACATTTGAAATAATTTTGGAATTTGAAAGAACATTGTGAATAGGATAGCAGATATTTAAAGGTACATAATATACTTAGAATTTTATGAGTCAATAAAGGATGGTTGTATGAAATGTATATCGATTAAGACTGGAAAAAATATCCACAATACTGACTGAATCAGCTTTCATCTTGTCTGCCAGCTCCTTTAATCTATCCATCTGTTCTTTTAGGACTGGGTTACACTCAACATCGATGCTGGAACTAAGGACTTCCAAATCCAATCTGAGAATAAAAAGCTCAAATTCACAAAATCCCTAAAACCTAACAAAGTGTTATCTTCCAAAAACCCCTTCACATCTATTAATTACACGTATTATATAAGTCTCTTGCATACCACTTTCCCCAACAGCTTTAGCATCATTAATTCACAATAATTGCATATCCCTGTTTAAAAAAAGACTATCCCTTGACCAATATATAAAGTTTGAATATGTTATAGTAATAGTTTAATATTGACAGTTCAAATGTAATTATCATATTTCGAAAAGTTATTTCTCAAATTTCACCAAAAAAAATTTCAAATGTAAATGTAAATCAATTTTGAAATTAACAGAAAAGTCAACAAGATTTTATTGTCACTTAAAAACAGGTGCAAAGGGACATGTTGAGAACATGAAGATATCATCAAAATAGTAACACAATAGTATCACTTTCACAACTTTCCACCACAGATTGAGAATCATACCTTTACCACATATATCTAATCTACTGTCTTTGACTGCAATAAGTATTATACCTAAGTATGCCAAAAGCTATTAAAATAACAAGAGGTCAAATGGGCCTGCAGTGCTCACCTGGTATAGACATATATATAACAACTAAAAACCTATTTTTAACCAGCTAGATATGGTTTCATCACAACCTGAAAATATGTAAGGGACAATTGTTACATGCGTAATTATTAGCATTTTTCAAAATAATAGAAACACAAGATTTGAAGTCTTTACCCAGTATCTTTTTTAAGGTTCTGAAGACGAGCTTTGAGTTTATCACACTTCATCTCCATTCGAATAGCTTTCTCACACATGTTGGTGCTCTGGTCCACTGCTCTGGTCAGCTCAGTTGACAACTTGCCATTCTCCTCCTATTTAAAACATGACAGTAAACATTGGTCAAAGGACAGGTTCACTGTACAAGTTTGTTTTAATTAATTGAATTTTTGCAGCTTTTACCAAAAGCTTGAAGTAAAATGGATTATTTTTCAGATATGTCATTGAATGGACAATGATCAAAAGGATTTTATCATCATTTTTAAAAGATATGAATTCATTTTTCAACCTCAAGAACAGTGAAAAACAGAGCCCCTCAAAAACACTGAACTTAGCAAAAATGTTACACTGTTACATTTGTGGCAGAGCACAAAAACTTCCCAAAAGTCATCAGTAAATTAATCTGGAACAGCACAAACCTCTTCCAGCTTATTGCAATAAAGTTATTGTTCATACCTCAAGCACTTTGTTCTTTTCCATGAGTGCTCGGAGTTCCTCCGCTGAAGACTCTACACTAGTCACACTACTGCATGTACTTCTGCAACAAAATCATACAACCATGGAAAATCCAGAGTAGCCGTGGCAGCTGGCAAAATTAAGAGTACCTGATAAACATTACAGCACTGAACGAGGAAATTTGTACAGGTATATTTATACCAGATTAACAATGTCTTGTCAGTACTATATAAAAAGTTACAACAGTGAAGGGAGATAATTCTTAATGCCTCTATTAGGGAAGCAACAACATACTGAAATGAATAAGATTTCTTTATAATTTTCAGACATGTGTTATCTTTCTTCATCTGTGAAATTTTTTTATGCAATTAATAATGCTTCAGAATTTTCTTTAGATATCTAGATAATCATTATGAGACAAAATTTAATAGACATTCCATTTGTTTGTGTTAACCATGTTATACCTACATGGTAGAGATTGAGTCTGGACAGGTGGCGCCACCTCCAATTAACTGTAACTGCAACTTCTGGACCTAAGTAAAGAAAAAACAAAATTCTTATATGAAATTGATCATTATTACATCTGAAATATACAAAATCACAATGAATACATATATATGTCTAGAACTTCTTCTTAAAAAACAGTCGTTGCATTCCTACCATATCATTTTGAAGATAAAGAAGAAAAAAGTGAATTCTTCAGTAATCTACACAGACAATGACTTGTACTTGATGATATCAAGAGATAATTACTATAATATAGTTATATTCCCTACAACTTGTATCACTCAGATAACTCCAATTACAAATAGTCAATTCAATTTCAGGACATTACAAGAAACACAGCAGGGATTTCAGGGAACTGCAGGAACTCACCAGGGATTTCAAGGAACAACAGGAGGGAACTACAGTGAAACATTAATTATTTCAGGGAACAACAGGTGGGAACTACAGTGAAACATTAATTATTTCAGGGAACAACAGGTGGGAACTACAGTGAAACATTAATTATTTCAGGGAACAACAGGTGGGTTCTACAGTGAAATATTAATTATTTCAGGGAACAACAGGAGAGAACTACAGTGAAACACTAATCATTTCAGGGACCTACTGGGCACCCATCAGGAATTTTGGTGAACTGCTGCATTTCAGGGAACTATAGGGTAAACACCAGGGATATTAGGAATCTACAGGGAACTCACCAGGGATTTCAGTGCAATAAGGGAACATGCTCAGGATTTCAGGAAACAAAAGAAAACTCACAAGGTATTTCAGTGAACTCACCAGGGATTTCAGTCTCATGATTTCCTCCGTTTGAGGATCCCGGTTGACCACAGGCTTGTTCTTTATTTTGCGTGCTCGATCAGCATATCGTAAAGTGTTTAGCGTTTCCTCCATGTTAGAGTCAGCAGGGCTAACACAAGCAATCATAACTGTATGGCTGTTCCCACCAAGTGAGTCTGTATAGTACACAGAGATTTGATAGTCCAACTAATTCTATAAATTTGGACATCACTGATATCCAATATTCCTCAAGGCTGCTCTTGTTTAATAGCATTTACTCAACAATGAAAAAAAAATCCTTCAGCTTTTATCAGTTTACTTACATAAGGTTCCAATAATTCCTATAAAATCACAGGAATTTCATATTCAGTACAAAAAATAAAAGACAATAAGTTTGTAAGGTAAGCAAAATTGGCTCTGTATCATAATATCAAAATTATATTAAGCTCCTCAGAACTTTTCAATTTTAAATATAAACATGTGCTGCGGTGTGGTACAATATTGTAATAGTAGTTAATTACATGATTTTTCCTCAATTATTGCTATCAGACCAAAAAATCACCAAAAAACTCATCTTTTATCAATCTACATTTGGAAGACAGGAACTTTATTTCTCCTTGAACAAGCAACCAACCTTGTAATAATCGTGTAAGTTTGGAATCCCTATAAGGAATGTGACTACGCTTGCTGCCTTCCTCCCCAAGAGCGCTGATCACATTACCCAGTGCTAACAGGCCGCGATTGATGTTAACGCCTTCCTTAAACCTCTCTCCCTCTGCCTGAGTCCTCTTGGCTCGTTCTGATCCAGCCAAGTCAACCAAGTGAAATTTTGATTTACAAAAGTCATCCCTGTTAACATGAATCATTGTTTACTGTATCAAAATATATCTATCATAATCAGGTATTTGTTTCATCATTTCTTACAGAAATCTAGCTTTAATATAAATTCTGAAAGAGGGGTACACAATGTGTATATAAGTCAGGTTGCAATAAAACTCTCAGCTGCTTCCATATTTAGGAATACAGTTGCTTGATGGGGAGGCAGAAAGCCAAATCCAAAAGAGAGGAACATATGATATTTCAAAATCAAAGAATTATTTTTGTTTTGGATGTTTCTTAACAGAATCTTGTGAGAGAAAGAACACAGTACTTCATGATTATCTTCCAAAATACATCTCTACAATGTCAAAATCAAAGCTTCCAACTTGAGAAAGTTATAAACATTCTTACATATCATCTCGTTTCTTCTGTTCAATGGTGATAGTGAATATGGCATGAGATCGACTGGATGTGTTATTCATGGCCGTAGATCCTGTTGTCCTACTGTGAGACCCCCGAGCCAAGCACTGCATGGTTTCCTTGTATGATACCACCACCACTTCCTGTAGTCCTGGCAGCTAAGACAAAACCCATAATACATTGTCTGGTGAAATGTAGTGATGTAATATCCAAATATCCAAGTTATGTTATGATCATAATCTCATGTCAGTTCTTTTCCCCCTATCTCCTAACCCATAATTTTAATATCACTGACCTCATATGATTTTTTTAATTTCCCTTCATTTTTTAAAAGTATAATCTGTAGATTCCTACCTTGATTCCTCCGTCAATGTCCTCCCTGATGGACAGTGGCTCCCTTTTGTTTGGGGGACGCAATAAATCATTAATGTCTTCATTGTGTATCTAATAAAAACATTAACAACATATTTAGATATTGTAATATTCATTTATCAATCTTCAATTCTTAGATAATACATATGCAATGAACATTCATATAAATACTTTCAATGTTGTTATTTTCATGAATACAATAACAATAAATAAAAAGATAACATTACTATTCAATCCATGAAAATAGTTAAGATAAAAACATAAGCATTTCTCATTAACAGGGCTCTCACACCCCATTTTGGGACTGGAGCCCAGGGCCCTTAGAATTGGGAAAAATTATGGTGTTTTCCTTAGAATTGGGAAAAAAAGATACTTTTTTGCATTGGGAATATTCGGCCCCAAATCTGGCAGATTGAGAGCCCTGATTGAACAAAAATGTTCAAACTAACTTCATGCATCATGTATTCCTTGCTGAATCAATGAAAATTACTGCCATGTTTTATGCATTTTTTACTTCCTGCTGGTTTTGAAATTAATCCTACCTCAATATATGAGACTTTAGTTGTGAATTGGTAATCAGGTCTTGCTTGGATTCCTTCGAACAATTCACTTAGAACACGGGGAATGATACCCATCACTGCTTCCTCTTCCTTCAGGGATTCTTCGTAACAACCTCCCATGGAGTAGGTCTTGCCACTGCCTGTCTGGCCGTACGCTACCACTGTGGCATTGTACCCTGTTAAATTAATGTGACTGAATTTAGTATTATATTGAATAATTAATTAGTTCTACATTAGTATGTATTTAGTAGGTCTATAATGAAGTCTACATTAGTTCTACATTAGTATGTATTTAGTAGGTCTATAATGAAGTCTACATTAGTTCTACATTAGTATGTATTTAATAGGTCTATAATGATGTCTACATTAGTTCTACATTAGTATGTATTTAGTAGGTCTATAATAGGTCTATAATGAGGTCTACATTAGTTCTACAATAGTATGTATTTAGTAGGTCTATAATGAAGTCTACATTTATGTAGTAGGTCTATAATGAAGTCTACATTAGTATGTATTTAGTAGGTCTATAATGAAGTCTACATTCGTTCTACATTAGTATGTATTTAGTAGGTCTATAATGATGTCTACATTAGTTCTACATTAGTATGTATTTAGTAGGTCTATAATGAAGTCTACATTTGTTCTACATTAGTATGTATTTAGTAGGTCTATAATGACGTCTACATTAGTATGTATTTAGTAGGTCTATAATGAAGTCTACATTAGTTCTACATTAGTATGTATTTAGTAGGTCTATAATGACTTCTACATTAGTATGTATTTAGTAGGTCTATAATGAAGTCTACATTAGTATGTATTTAGTAGGTCTATAATGAAGTCTACATTAGTTCTACATTAGTATGTATTTAGTAGGTCTATAATGAAGTCTACATTAGTATGTATTTAGTAGGTCTATAATGATGTCTACATTAGTTCTACAATAGTATGTATTTAGTAGGTCTATAATGAAGTCTACATTAGTTCTACATTAGTATGTATTTAGTAGGTCTATAATGACGTCTACATTAGTTCTACATTAGTATGTATTTAGTAGGTCTATAATGAAGTCTACATTAGTATGTATTTAGTAGGTCTATAATGAAGTCTACATTAGTATGTATTTAGTAGGTCTATAATGAAGTCTACATTAGTATGTATTTAGTAGGTCTATAATGAAGTCTACATTAGTTCTACATTAGTATGTATTTAGTAGGTCTATAATGATGTCTACATTAGTTCTACATTAGTATGTATTTAGTACGTCTATAATGAAGTCAATGTCTGCTCTTATGTTTAGTAGATCTTTGAAATTTTATGAAGTTGATAAATAAAGTGTACAGAGAGAAAATACTTGACTTGGCAATAAGAAAATGGTGAGAAACACTGACCTAATTCATCATATCAACATCAAAAAATCATAGTCTGCTAAGCACTGAATGTGAACTTTTCACTGATAAGTGATGAGGCATCACTGCCTCATCTCAGAAAGAAAATTGCTGAATGATGAAGGAGTAATTTGCAAATTTGGGGAATTAAGTCTAGGTATATATATGCAAGAATTTTTAATTGGGAACGGTGCCCGTTGTTGGCCCTAAAAAGATCCAGACCTTAAAACAACATCCCTCCACACTTATCATCAAGCTACATCAATGTTATCTAGTCCTTTTGGATAAAATCAATGCTACGGCATACATAGCAGTTATGACAGACATTCCTTAAAATTAGCTACACATTTTCATTTATATCTTAAACTCATATTTAGATGAGTGATACATTTGAGGGTAATATAAAAATTAAATATGCCTGCAACAGAGATTTTTTTTTCATATTTTATGATATTTCATTACATTATATATATTATTACTTTAAGCCAAAGACTCAATTTGTTAACTAAATCTAAAGTATGATTTGTCAATGTCTCATCTCAACTAACTTATCTAAAAATAGCTTACAAAACTTTCGGATTGATACTTCAATCAAAAGGGATAGGCAGTGTAATAAAATATATTTTTGGATGGCCAATAATTGGGTTCATAGTCAAGTCCCCAAATTCAATTGTTCTCAATTCTACATAATTAAAATCACATTTATTGGCTTACAAAGTAAAGTTACAAGAAATCCAGAAGGGGGCTATGAAGCCCTAGGACCCTTAAACCTAAAACTGATCCTCATGTTTCCATTTTCTCTTAATTTTACGTGAGATGGCCCATCTTATTTTGCACGTTCACTTCATTGTCTGAAAAAAAGACTATTAACCATCAGCTCCTAGGATTATCCCTGCATACAAGAAGTTAACAAGTACATAAACAAACACTTTGAATAAAAGTTTAAGTAGTATATGAACCAACATCTTGTACATTATGATTAAGTTTACTTCTACATACATACCTTTGAATACATGTTTCAGTAATGGATGAACTGACATCTCATACACTTCTGACTGACTGTTACAAGGACTAAATACATAATCATAGGTAAAGGCTTTCATCTTGCCAAGAATAATTTGTGGTTCATCCTTTGTAAACTGGACACACACTTGACAACCTTCATTTTCTTCTTTTGGTATAAGTGGCCTACAGCGTACTGCCACACGGACGGGAATCACTTTGTCCGACATCTTGCTGCAAAAATAAAGACAAAAAATGACATCTCTTCCACACTCCACAAGTTAATATGTAAATTCTCCATAAATAAATTCAACATCTACAATGAAAACAGACATAGTAACATCAAATTTATTTCAGTGCATTTTTCATCGAGTGCAAATCTTTGACCTACTTCCATTTGATTAGTCTATCAGTCACTCCAGCAGAATACGGACCTAATTGACTTTTTGTCTGATAAGTTCCCATCTGCCATGGTAACCTTCCCCTGTAAAATTCTAGTTTTCTTGTGCCGATTTGACCATCTTTCACTTTGTCACTGACAATGTAACATTTTCTCAGCCACAATTTGTATACACGAGAAGACTGTTGATCAATAGTGAGAGATTTTCCTTTTTATAATCATTTACTAACATTTTTATATGCTTATTTCAGCAAAAACCAACTGGCATCAGTCATAAGGTGATACACTCAATATGTACATGTTCTAATACAAAACTGCACAAATGATAACCATTTTGCCATGATGTTGCTTTAATTTGTCTCAACCGAAAGTAGACTTTTCTATTGTTGTCCTTGAAGTGCTCTTTCTACATATTTCAAAATCTTTATAAGAATTTATTTAAAGCATGGACTAGTAATGATGTATCTATAGATATGATATGACATGAAAAAATGATTTATTAGAGAGTAAATACTTGTCACTAATAAAACATTTACTTATAGATTATTCTGATCAAAATGTGTGAGTGCTGGAACCTGTTACAACCTGGTTTACAATTTATTTGTATTTACCATAGGATGGAATAAGGCTAAAACAAATAGAATTGGACTTTTATTTTGTAATTGTCTAGATCCATGCAATACTGACCACTGGGACATGTTACAATATAAACTTATGCTTTACTTTGAGGTACAGTGTACCTGTGCATTGATAGAAATCAACAGTTGAGAGTACAAAATCATTCAGAAAGAGACGAAAACAGTACAGACAGTAGAATACCAATTTTCACCAAGGAAAATAGATTTTTACAGCTGTAAAATAGGCAAAAAATCACTGACAGTGCATACTAGAATATGCAAAGCAGTTATTATCTAACATGGATTACAAATTTAATGGAAACAAAGCAGACCTAAACAACTGTAACAGGTCTATGGCGACAACTGGTTTGCCCCAGTGTCAGGTCTGAGGACTCTTGAGAGAACATATGTCACTGTGCATTATTCACCTATGTACGTAAAGTGCTTTATTTCATTGCAAACGGAAAATAAATGCAGACGAATAGATTAATCATATCTGTGCAATGGTATTGGTTGTAACCGATAAATATCCATACATTTTCTAACTGAACAATGGGTATACAGGGGAAAACAAAATCGAAACATCCAGCCGTGTCAGCACAAAGCGTATGATTAGCAGCGATCTCCAGTAAATCGTCATATTTTAGGTTTATAAGAATTTAAAACCTCATCATTTATAACATATAATTATAGGAACAATCAAAATGAGACTGCACAGCTTTAGTGTCATTATGAATTAAAGCAAAATATTACCTTGATGTCTCACCTCGCTTCTTTCTGTATTTTGAACGTGCCGCAAAAAATCAACCAATCGTTATCGAGCTTTCATATAAGGTTGGGTGGCATCGAGGCAAACTAAAATAAGTTGTCTCCCTTAAGTTGTTATGTTCAAGGATGCATGACACCATCAGACCGTATTTAACGAAATCAAATTTATTTAGAAAAAATTCAGACATCAGGTGTTTTTCTGCTCCACTCGTAAAAAGAACAAACAATCCCCACAAATAATAATAATTATTATAAATAGACACACACACAGGCCATTACTTGCTGCTTTTTTTCACTATTTAATGTCAAAGGTCAAGCAAACGTCACTTTTACATAAAGTTTGGACCTTTTGTGTGTGTTGTCTACTCGGTAGCAGGGACGTAGATAGCAGTATCATGTTGCATTCTTATGTAAATTCATGAAAAAGTGACTTCATGAGATGTATGTAAATTTCCGTAAATTTGTACATCAACGCTATGTTTCATTATCTTTGAAGAAATAAAGAAGATTTCACAATAATTTCGTTTTAGGAAGACGTATGTACGGACGTATGGCTGGACGCACACACAGCTGACACACAAATCGTCTGATTGTTAAGTTAAATTAAGTTAAGTTAAGTTTATTTCTGGTGCAGGACTGTTTGAAGTCCTCTATACCAGACTCCATAACAAAAACTTGTTACATGTGTGACATATCAATATAGCATTCAGAATTAAAATTACAGTTCTGTTCTCGATATGATAAATTATTTGGTTATTTGAACTTTGTAGTTATAGAATAATTCTTGTTCTGAGAAACCTACAAATAGTCAAAGAAAATGGCAAGAAAACTTTAATACTGACATTAGTGAAGACACTTGGGAGTTAATTTATTTAATATCAAGGGAGATAACTGATGATACAAAACTTCTAACTTTTCAGTATAAAATATTACATAGGATATTGTATACAAATACTAAGTTAATGAAATGTAAACTTGCAGAAACCGAAAGATGCACATTCTGTACAAATGAAAGAGAAACGATTATACACCTATTTTGGGAATGTAATGTTGTTAAAACACTTTGGTTTTGGTTAATAGAATTATTAGAAAACAAACACCAATCGTCTTTACCTAGAAATCCAGAAGTCTTTGTTTTTGATGTAGTAGAAATAGAACACAGATATGAAATCAATTTTTCAATGCTTCTTATGAAATACTTTATATTTTTGTGTAAATTAAAAAATAAAACTGTAACTGTTTCTGAATGCAAGAAATATATTTCTCAATATAAAAAAATAGAGGACATTGGGTTATATAGATACAGCCTTAGAAAACAAGAAATTATTCAAAACAAATGGATCTTTATTAATCAGTTAATAAATTAGTGAATTATCGTATTCCAACGTATTGTTAACACAGTGTCAACAAGTATGTACTTTTTTTGTTTTCATATGCACTGTAATATTTTATATTATATGCATTAATTTTAGATACAAGTACAATGTATGACGTGTGGTTATGCATGTGATGTGATTGATGTATGTGACTATTGATAAAAACCTGAATTAAAAAAAAAAAAGTTCTTGTTCCAGTGATTGTCTAGAGCGTTTTTGAAAGCATTTACACTAGGTGCGGATACTATTATTTCTGGTAGACTGTTTCATATTTTAACTGTTCTTATTGAGAAGTTGTTTTTTCCTAATGAAAAATATATATGCAACAATAACTTGACCGAGTTATACCCCTTTATCTGGTGTGGACCTCCTGACAGGAATTTGTATGTGTGAGAGAGAAGTGGCTGTAATGTGAACGACAATGATAATATGGCAACGACAGTCAAAGTGAGTGAAAGATAAAGGTAGGTGGTGGATCCCGGAGGAGAAACACCGTCTGCGACCAGTATCTGACGAGACGAATCCAGAACACACAGGTGATTCGGTCAACGATGTACAAAATACAACATACAAAATAATATGTATCTGAAGCGTCTACATTATAACAATATTCATAATATGTCAGAAATACATTTTGAAAACGTGCATGTTATCTATAAATATAACTCTTATACATGGGTTATTCATGGAGATTCTTATAGGTAAATAAATGAATTAATTAGAAATATTTGGAATTGTAAAGGAAAATCCATGTATCTGTTTAAAACATCCAAGTTCATGTAAACCCAAAAATGGAACTTATAATTGTATTATTTAGAATTGAAAGTGCTAATAAGGATGAATTAAGAAATCATCATAACATTTGGGTTGAATTGCATGTATCTTTGGTCGATCCCACAGTATTCACAACCAGTAAAGTTGGATTATTTTCGTACGTTCGTATATATGTAATTCATGTTTGTATCAATGTTCGAGGTTTACATTAAAACAGGTGTTCTGATGGCAGGCGACGTACCCCCGTATGTTCGATGAGATGACAACTGGCTACTAAATAGAGACCTCTCCTGGCTGTGTACGATCATTTACAAACTAAGAAAAGTATTTTAAAGGAACCTGTAGTTTGTGTCAAAAAGAAATACAGAAAAAGTAAATAGAAATGGAATTGATTTTTAATAAAGTTTTATAAAAAATTATATTACCCTAGCGGGCGAATAGCAAAATGATCGAAATCTTTTAAAAACGATTTGTAAATAAATTTATCATTTTATTAGATAAGATCAGCAGGTTTGATCCATTTCCTTCAAGTTTTGTTACAACCATCCATCATGCTAAGGGCACTGTATCCGTGTTTGTCCTGTCCACAACGATACATCAACACGACTTCTAATCATTTCCGGAAGTCACATGACATGACGATTTGTTGAAAAAGAAGAGAGAGAAAAGCACACGATGCGATAATCCCGGGAGCTCTTCAGTAGCCAAACACCTACACACGGGAAACACAAGGGTGTTGATACTGAGCAAAAACAACGAAATGAATGATGAGTTTACAAAGGGAAAAACAAAAGAAAAAGAAAAATTGATATCTCAACTCAAAGAATCGTCAAATATTTCACTCTAGATTGCGATTAATGTGGAGTTTCAAATTAGAGAAAAAAACAAAGAAAAAAAAAACAAAAACAAAAACAGAAAAAAAAAAAAATAATAATAATAATAATAAAATAATTTGTTCTAGAAAGTAAAAGATTTCAATAAACATTTTCTATTTATATAAATCTTATCACCAGGTCTTCTTTACTCAAATGATTGTTCTATTCTGCGTTCTCTTTTCGGATTGTATTGTCTACCACTACTTTCATTTTCTTTATATACCTCCCAAAGTTTTCTCCTGTTGTCACGACAGTTGTTTTATCTGTCCATTCGTCTATCCTTTCGGAATAATTTTACTAAAACTGTTTGTACAAAAGACACACAAGTGAATAGTACATTTTAATACAACTTAATAAAAAAAAGACAACCTCAGTATGTATGAATTGTATCAAAATTGCACATTAATTTTCTAGATCTTG